GTTATCCGATTCATAATCGAATTCCATGATGTCCTTCGGTGTTAACGATTGTTTCAATTTATCTGCCTCTATCTTTTTTCTGGCAGCTCGTTTCTGATCTCCTTTCTGTAGGATCACATTCAACATGGGAGTTTCCGGATCATTTCGCTGAGGAATTGGTAGTTTTTCCATCACTTCTTTGTCGGAGAAATTACAGTAATCGTGCAGTTCCTCCGGTATGAACCCCAACATGGTGTACCTGATCGGAGATCCTTCATAAGCATTAGTAGTAAGGAGTTTACCCTCTTGAAGCATCTGTGTCAACATCGTCTCGTTTCCCGCTTCGATCTCAGCGATCCTACCCATTCCGCCTTGCCATAATCCATTCATATATTGGCTAATACGGTGTCGAGTAGAACCTACAGGACTTCGCAGACCTGCAATGGCCGATTCGATCTGTCGTCTCCTATCAGCGGACTTTTCGAATAACTTTTTGTCGATTCCATTAGTTCTAATCAGCTTCGACTTGCAACACCAATCGAGATGTTTCTTGATCATCCTACCCGAATTCAAGGCGTAGTCGATGATCGTATCCAACTTCGATGGAGTCAAACGTCGATTCCGTTTGTTCAACCATTCTTTAACGCGGATCTGGAACCTTACTGTCACCGAGGTATCACCTCGCGTGCGAAATGTAGCCATAGCGAAATTTGTAGCCTCAATCAGATCGTTCTCTGTCAAGGTATCGTTATCATCCTCTAATTCCTCGAAGTCAGGAAAAGGTTCTTCATCTTCTGGTTCCGAATATTCCAAATCGCTATTGCCCTGTCTCCTGGTGTATTGTGCTAATCCGACTTCATCGATGCGTCGAACTGCTGCAGGTTTTGACTTCTTCTTAGCGCTCTTTTTCTTCGCGCTTTTCTTCTTCTTTTCCAACGCTGCCTGTTTCTGTCTTTCCAACGTCGCTTCCAAGCTATTGGGTGCCACCTTCGGCTCTCCCCCGTCTGACTTCGTGTAGCCCGAACCGAAATGTTGGGTTTCGACTTCGAAGCGACCGTCGATGTACTTGGACGACTTGCCTCTGATGCTGTCGACTCGCGGGATGTTTCGCGTTTCCCTTTTTCCTTCTGAACTTTCTCTCGACGTTCCTTTTGAGTCGACGCTGCCATAATCTGTCCCATATTAATCGCTCTTTTTATTGCGATCGATTTCGGTTTTTCTTCCGGCGAGGTTGCTGATTGTATAACACCCTTTTTCGTTGTGGTCGTCGACGATTTCAAGCTCTCATCAATTTCGAGGACTTCGTCATCGTCCTCTGATTCCTCGCTCATCTCTTTGTCGTCGGATGGGGATTGGTCCTTCCTTTTTCCCCCTTTGTGTTTCTGATCTTTCTGAGATTTCCCTTTGGACTTTTCCGTTCCCGTCTTTCCGGGTTTATCAGTCCCTTTGTCTGATGTCTCCGATTTCTTTGACTTTGTATCAGTTTTAGATGAGCTTGGTTTCGACTCCTCTTTAGACGATTTGGATTTGGATTCGTCTTTGGGCGATCTTGGCGCTGGATCATCGTCTTCTGATTCTTCCTGAACCCTATCCTCCTCATCGTCATCTTCTTCCTCTTCAGATTCTGCAGGTGGGTGACATCGATCACAATTCACATCGTTGCATGTCTTGTGATCTGCTCCCATCATGATCGCGATCGCTCGTTGCATTGATCGTCTGGGGTTGTTCTCATCGATGGGTTCATCTTCAGCATGGAGAGCATTTTCACCTGATGGATCATCTTCGGCTTCCATCTGTTCATCACCTTCATCTTCACCGGCAAGGCTTTCCTCTTCAGCCTGTTTGGATTGGACATAAATTTCATGGATTTTGGCCGCTGCCTTAAGATGCTTCTTCGGAGTCTCCATCTCGTAGACCATCTGGTAATGCGGTGTGTAGACTCGCGTACGAAGTTGGCCATCATCAGTATATGTAACTGTCACTCTGACGTAGGCTCCGTCGTCGGCGGCTCGATGACTCATAATCTTCAGAATTCCATTTCTGTTGGCTTGAACATCTTTTTTCTTGTCTTCTGGCAACATGTTGTGCAGATTCGCCAACGCTTTTTCGTTCTCCATTTTAGCGTATTCCTTTTCTTCCTTCGATATGAACCAAGGCGCAAATGGGACGGGATCTCCTGATATAGGAGCGACAATTTCGGCGATCATCACGATTGGCAATCCGACCGTACAGTGGAGTCCCAATTTGAAGACTCGACAGGTCATGTCCTGGTACAGGTAGGTCGTATCGTATGCCTCTTTCGGCTTCGTTTTACCATCTGATTCGACCCCCTCTTTCAATCGATGTCGCTCAACTGCTAACATCTCTCCGTCAGTTGCGTACATGTACGCAAAGTGGTCGTCGTGTGTTCCCACTCGTATACAGATCCAAGCTTTCTCTTTCACGGCTATTGGCGTGATCAGTTGTCTTAACGTCTGAATGAGGATTCGTGGATCTGCACGATCTTCCTCGCGCACGATCCTGAGTAGCGCCCCCTGCACCTCATGTCTCGACTGTTTGGTGATCTGATTTCTGATTTCCGTCGATGTAGTGGGGTGATATGAGGGAATCTCTTCGTTCGTGACTTTGTCGATAATCTGGGCAGTAACCTTATTCGGAGGTCCTTCCGACCTTAAGTATGTCACGGTATATGCCCGAACCTGGGGTATGATCATCGGAGTTCTTGCTGGTGGTGGGGGCAGTTGAGTCAAGCTTTTCCCCGCCGGTACAGCGACTTGCTGCTCCTTCGGTTGTTCCTTACTCACCGAGGGTTTCGCTGGAACTACCGACGTCTCTTGGCCCTTCGGCGGTTCCTTACTCTCCGTGGGCTTCACTGGTACAACTGACTTTTCCTGCACCTTCGGCGGTTCCTTACTCGCCGTGGGCTTCACTGGGATCGGCATCTCTTTTTCTTTCGGCGGTTCCTTACTCGCCGTCGACTTTTTAGTCTGATGTCCCTTTTCCGTTGATTTAGGACTTGTCGTCTGCGATCTGTTCCGTTTAACGCTGCCACGAGATGAATCTGCCGTCGAACTTTCTCGTGATCGCGCTCGTTGCTCAATAGCTTCGTCGATTCGTCTCTTCTGTTCTTTTAGGTCAGCGTCTGTCATCTCTTCAACTGGCTTCGCAGTCGTCGGATCAGTTTTTGGTGTGCCGCTCCCCGGTGGTTGCATCTGTGATGGACCAGCTACAATGGGTTCAGGTTGTGCGACTTCTTCGGGAAACTTGTCGATCCATCTCAGAACCTTTTCAATCATTTCTGGCCACGGCCTGTTTGTCAGCGCCTGATGGTATGTCTTCATTGTGGCAACTCTAATTCCGAGATCTTTTCGTACTTCTTGAACCTTCTCTTTCCGGTCCTTAAGCACTTTGTGCCCCGAATCGGTTACGGGCATCTGTTCTATCATATATCCGTAGAGGAGCTGCTCGTCATTCACTCTTTCGTGCATTCGATAGAAGTCCCGACACAGACGGTTAAAGTTATGAATGGCCCTCCGGTCATCTGCGGTGAGCTCTTCCTCGGCTCCTATAATCATGTTGAGCCGATCATCTGCTTCACTGACGTTCACCGCCAATCTTGGTACATATCTGGAAGGTGAACCTGGAGGGCTTATTGTTATCGTCTCCATCTGTGGGCCTAATGGGGGCAGCATTCCTCGTGGCCGAGGTGAGTTACGATTGCCATGTCGCGATCTTCCGCCTCTTTGGTTCGGAGATTGTCTGTCGAATCTGTTAAACGGATGATGTGCCCTCATAGGTGGTGTCTCACTCCGTTCGGGAAACAATGATGGGAAAGATGATGAGACTGGTGCTGGCGCCCTTCCGCCACGCACCGATCCCGGCGGCGATCCGCCAATTGCCCCGCCATGTCGGACTGGTACTGACGTTGGGCCTCCAAATCCGTGATGTCGGACGGGCGACGCTGACATTCCGCCAAGTCCCCCATGTCGCACAGGTGTGGATGGCATCCGGCCAAATCCACCATGTCCCGTCGGGAAATTGGGTACCGGCGGTGGTCCCATCGGCATTTGCACAGATCCATACATCGGTGGAGTCTGTGTTCCAGGAAACAATTGAAATGGGTCGTTTTGTACCGGATATTGAGTTGGTCCTGCCGGATGGCCGTAGGTCAACCAATTCTGTGTACTCTGATAGCTCGTAGGGTCCTGGTACGGATAGTATGCCTGGACGCCGGCCGCATAGACCGGTTGATCGCTCGGTCCCGGTTCGTTCTGCGCCATTCCTGCAGACGATGTGGACTCATTTCCATAGTGAGTGCCTTGGCTATGGTCGCCTTCCATTCTTATTGGCGTCGGTGCTTCTAGTGGATTTCCGATACTTTCCGAATCGGAATTCTCTGAATTCTGCCGTTCCAGTCTTTCCATTAACTTTTATTACCTGCTATAAGAATGAAACGATATCTGTTAGCCAGTTTACAACGGTTAACTTTTACACCTCCCCAACTCCTGTGCATGTATCATAACGCCCTTTTTAGTATTTATTTTGTATTTTGCGCCCTTTAGTTATCCGATCAAGGAGTCCCGTATTGGCGGCATCTTCATCAGCTCCTTGTCGCGTTAGGAATTCCGTAGGAGTGGGTTTCGACTTTGTCTTTTTGACCTTCCTTTGCTCGATAGCAGCGGCAATGTCACTTGCCAACTGTGCAGCTGTTGCTCTCACTGCTTCGAGCTGCTGTTGCCTATCGGCAGCAGCAGAGCGTGGTTTGAAAGAAGACTGTTGAATCGAATCTTCTGGAAAAACACGATCTGCTAGTTCAGCATCTTTCTGCTGATTATTAACGTTGGTAGCATCGCGTGGTCTGAAAGACTGTTTCGAAGTACGGTCTGCTACGGTGACATCATCGTCGTTGCTTGCCGGTTCGGCAACTTCCGCTAAGTTGCCAGCTTGTTCGCTCAACTTGATTGTTACTGCCGTTTCAAAATCCTTATCCTGTTTCTTCGATCTGCCTCGTTTCTTTTTCTTCATCTCTGTCGGACCGTTGGTTCCTGACCGTCCTCTAATTCTTCCGTCAATGGCGGATGCCACGGTTTCAATCGATCGATGGAGACGACTTTCAAATCCGCTTCTTTAACCGGGTTTATTTCGATAACTTCGACTTCATTTGGTCGTGGAAAACTGAGGATTTTCCATACTTTATCGTACTTTTTCTTAAAATCAGATTGAACTTCCTTTTTTCTTTGCCTCGTATCTTTGGGTAGTCGGATGAGTACGAAGTCACCGATTTTGAAGTTCGGTTCCGATTTCTTCTTATTATAAACCTCGGCTTTCTTCTCGTAAGCATCTTTTATGTTGCATCCGGCAACTTCTTCAGCAAATATCAGATTCTTTTTCATGGTCTCCACCCATTCGTCTGGAGTACCATAATCATCTGGTAAGTTCGTTTTTGTCACCACATCCTCTGGCATAATCATCTCTCTTCCATGTAGCATGTAATATGCCGAGTAGCCGGTTGTAGCATGTACCACTCTGTTCATTCCCGAAACCACGTACGGGAGGTACTTGCTAAATTTCCGTTCGTTTCCCGCTTTCATATACTGTGCAAGACCATCTCCGATGATCTGCATCTGTCTTTCGACTTGGCCCTGGCCTTCAGGGTGGTATGCCGTTCCGAACGCGTGTTTAATTTTAAACGCATTGGTGACTTTCGATAAGACTTCCGCTGTGAAGTGCCTTCCACGGTCTGTGTGTAAGATGTGCGGTGCTCCATGTACCAGTATCACATGTTTCACGAAGACTTTGGCAAACTCTTTCGCTGTTGCCGTCTTCATTGGTACTGCTATCACGTATTTCGTCAGCTGGTCGATAAATACCGCTATGTATTTATATCCTCGTTTCTTTGTCGGTAATAAAGGTCCTTTCAGATCGGCATATACTCGGAAGAAAGGATGTCCCACCTTGATCTCTTGCAGTTTTCCGGGTGGACATTTCCGTGGTGTCTTGGTGAACTGACATCCTTGACATGCGAGTATATAATTCTTAACGTCCGTACTCATTCTGTCCCAATAGTATCGCAGTCTTATTGCTGCTAACGTCTTTTCATATCCAAGGTGACCTGCTGCTTTCTCATCATGTAGCGCATGGATAATCGCTCGTCTCATCGACAGTGGTATGACGTATGACCTTTCTAATCTCCCTTTATTATCTTTTATTCGGTACAAGATTCCGTTCCACAGCTGATAATGTACTTCGAACTTCGATCTCGTTTGGGCATCTGCTAAATGTTCGAGTTCATCGATAATCATTGCAAAGTAAGGATCTTTTAGCTGCTTATTTCGGAGCTGCAAGTTCGAGTCATCTTCTTCTTCCTCATCTCCTTGCAAGTTGACGATGCGAACAGTCGCGGTGCTGAGACGTTCCAGTCCGTGATGACTTTGCATCTAGGTAACGGTTTATATCGATTATCCTTCTTTTTAGGAAATCTCAGCAGTTTGATCGGACATTCAGTTAGAGCTCGTACACGGTTAACGTTGATCGTTGATTCAGCCGGCTCATTCGCCGTAGCCGGATCATCTTTTATCCGCTTCTCTCGTTCGTCGACCATCTGTACGAACAGCTGCCATACTTCAACTGCCGGTTCTTTTATGTCATACTCTTTCTTTATATCTTCGAAGTTCGGGATCTCATCAAATTCTTCATCATGGCATGTCGGGGCTTCAATTGGTGCCCTTGATAATGCATCCGCGTTATCGCAGTACTTTCCGGGTTTGTAACCGATCTTGAACTGATGACCTTGTAATGCCATCGCCCATCTCGTAAGTCGCGGATTCATGCCGACTTTGTTCGTCTCCGATCTCAGCAGATTCGTGAGTGCTTGATGATCTGTCCGTACGGTGAACTCGGAGTAATCGATGAACGATTTAAACTTTCTGACGGCAAACACGACCGCCAGACACTCCCATTCGGTTACACCGTAGTTCCGTTCAGCTCCATGTAGGACGCGGCTCGCATAGGCAATTGGATGACCTTCTTGTGATAGTACTGCCCCAATTCCTTCTTTGCTCGCGTCACACTCGATTACTGTTGGCTTAGCTGGATCAAATTTCGCTAAGACTGGACCTTCACATAGCAACTTTTTCAAATTATCAAACTCTTTCGTGTGAACTTCTGTCCAGTCTTTTCGCACATGTTTATCGTTTCGCAACAACTCATATAAGTGGCAGGTTTGCTGCGCGTATCCAGCTATGAACTTCCGATAGTAGTTCGCCAATCCGAGAAATGATCTCAACTGTCGTTCAGTCTGAGGTCGTTTGAACTCGGATACTGCGGTGATCTTTTCGGGATCCATTCGAACTCCGTTTTCTCTGAGTATATGACCCAGGAATCCCATCTCTCGCATTCCAAATTCGCATTTTGTCGGTTTAATGGTGAAACCTGCTTCAACCAAACTTTGAAGGACATTCCTCATGTTCTGCAGGAAAATCTCCCAAGTCTTTCCAGCAAAAATGACATCATCGATGTATCCGAAAACGCAGCCCTTTCGCTTTGCCTTGGATAGGACTTTGTCCATGCACAGTTGAAATGTCGCGGGTCCATTACATACTCCGAATGGCATCCTTTTAAATCTATACATGCCATCTTGCGTTACGAAAGTCGTTTTATTAATCGATTCTGGATCCATCGGTATCTGCCAGAATCCACTTTGCAGATCCATCTTTCCGTAGTACTTGTTGCCTGCACATGCATCTAGCAATTCATCTGGGTTCGGTAACGGATAGTTATTTTTCTTCGTTAACTTGTTCAGCATGATATAATTGACGCAGAATCTTGTGCCCATAGTTCCGTCACCATTTTTTTTCGCAGCCAGCACGACTGGAAAACTCCAGTCGGCATCTGATGGCTCGATGACGTCCTGCGCAAGCATCTCTTCGATATGCTTCGTTATAAATTTGCGACCTGTCCAGCTAGTTCTGGCGGGATTGCACTTCACCGGTTTCGCATCTCCCGTGTCAACTACATGGGTGATTCCTTTTACATCACCATACGGTTTTTTTGATGTGGGAAGCACCTTCCAGAACTCCCAGAATGCGTTGTAGACATCGTTTTTCTGCTCTTGTGTAAGATCAGGTCCGAGTTTCAAGTTTCCGATGATCTTCGTCAGCTCGGTTTTCGTTAGATCGTCCACTTCGGGATCAAAAAGCACGTTCTTTACTGTGCTAGTATTGATCTGAACATTTTCCATGTGATCGTACGGTTCACCGTGGCCGAGGAACTGACCCTTTTTAACCACCTGCCGTTTTATGCTGTGGTTAGCGATGACCAGATCAAAGTGCCTTCCTCTATAATCGGTCACTCCTGCTAACGGTTGAACATCGGTTTCCACTTGAAAAACGGGCGTGAACATCAGCTTCTCTTTAGCTGGTACAAATCGTCCCATTCTGACTTTAACACGAGTGCAAACAGATGGTTTTAAAAGAATCCGTTGATCGCTATAGACTCTTATCGTCTCTCTGTTCAATTTCATCCTTTGCACCTTCGTTCTTCTCACTTTAATGTCCTGTTCCTTTTCTTCATCAACTTCGTCATCTTCGTCGAGATCGAGGAGATCCTCTTGTTCTGAGAGATCGTTTACACCTGAGTCTTCTGAAGTTGTTGAGTTGTCACTCGAGCTTGTCCAATCTGAATCTGAGTCACTGCTCTCATCGTTAGCTGCAGCGCTCTTAACAAGTGGCCTTTCGTCAACTTCATCTTCCTCAGATGAAAGGTCACTTTCCTCACCTTGAGAATCGCTAAGTTTTTTCGTTTTCAAATTTTTGAGCAGAGGTTTGCCCGTTTCCTTTGCCTTTTTTCCATATTTCGCTGCAATTCTCGGATGACTACGCGCAACTCGCACTTTCGGTGATGACCTTTGTTCGGCTGAAATCGATCTCTGATCATCTGGAACTGTTCCTTCGAGCTGATCGATCTCCTCTAAGCTCATTAATTTACTATTTTCGACCGGTGGACCTTCCTCACCCGTGTCGCATACATTTTCATCTCTTTTTGCCTCTGTTACTGGGTCTTGTTGCCCCGCAGAGATCTTTTCAAGCTCCTCTTGTAACTTTTTCCATATTTCTCCCCTTTCTGAGATCATCTGCGAGATCTCAAATGCTGTTGGTGATTTCTCGTCATCTGCTGCGATCATCTCCTCATCTGTATCCTCCTCATATCCGATGGGTCTTTTGTTCCCAATGAAGACACAATTCGCATTTAAGTTTTCAGCGAGGAGTTCGTTTTTTGGGTTCATCTCGTATATGCACCATTTATCATCTCCTCGTTGCGGGTACTCATCTCCATCTGGGATTGGTGCGAAAGTCACCTTCTTCTTGACCGTGTAACCAGCTACTTCATCTTCTCTTCGTTTCCGATATACTTTTAGTTCAAGTATATCCTTATCTGGCAGTGGAGGAAATTCTGCTTCCAGCTCTTTCCAATATTCCTCAAAGGATTCTTCATCTCCCCTTTCCGATACTTTATAGAACCTTTCGAACAACTCGTGGACTGGTGTACCAAGTCCAGTTGGGAAGATTATCGTTGTGCCCTCTCCCTTATAGAGGTGATTAACGCGGAAGTCCCAGAAGAGATCCTCCCTGGCCTTTTCCCACATGATTCCTTCATCGAACACCTCGACTATTTCTCGGTTAAGTTTCAATCGGAGCTGCTTAACTTTCGGGTCTGATCTCCTAAGTTCGCAATCGAGCTGTCGACCGTGTTATCCCAATGAAGTAAGGATCGTCCCCTTGTTAAGATGAAGTTTCGAACGCAGGATAGCCATTCCTTAGATCGCTGCCAATGGTAGCGCTCGATGTGCTGATTCCACATTGAGTTTGTCCTGCTAATGCTTTTCACTTCTTTCTGGACATGGTTTTTCATCTCTTCGATTGCCGCATTGCAGCTTGGCCAATCTCTGAGATCATCTTGACAAGCATCTCCACGACATTCCTCACATCTTCCTTGAGGTTGCACTCGACACGGGTTCTCATTGTAACCGTGATGACAACTGCTAATACGTTCTTCCAGTGTCACTTTATCGAGGCAAGCGAACGGGTTACTGGTATCGTCGATTTCCTTATTCGAAAACCCATGATTCGATGTCAGTTTAATCTCGTCAGATGAGATTTCGATGATCCCCGGTTGTTTTTCGGTTCGATGATCTCTCAGCTGTTCAATCGCTCCATCTCGTATCTCGCTTAAGAGTATCTGTTCATCTTGTGTCATCTTTTTCGGAGCGTCTAGTTCCTTTTCGAACTTCTTATCGTCCCATACTTTGGCAACTTTTATTCCCAGTGCCTCTGGTACTGGGATAGACTTTGCCCACTCCATTCCCGATACGAGAGATCGTTTCGATTCAGCAGCTGCTTCCTTTTTTATGGCTGCGATCTGCTCCATTGTTAACGGAGTTTCATCGTTCGTTCCCAGTGCCTCTGGTACTGGGATAACATCTTTATCCGCTACTTTTTGGTTATCTTTCGTCGTTCCCTGTGCCTCTGGTACTGGGAGAACGACGTTAGCCCGCTCTTTCGGTTTAACTGATGATCTCCCCAATCGGGTCGCGATCTCGTTTTGGATAGCTGCCATCTTTTCGATTGTCGACGGCTGAGCAGGTGAACCTCCCCTTCTTTGGTTCATCATCTGCTTTCCCGGTGCCTCTGGTACTGGGATAGCCTTTTGATCCGGTTTAGCTGTTACAAGTCTGGTGACCTTTCCAGCTTGGACTTTGACAGCTGATTTCGGCTCATCTTCAACTTCCTTCTCTCCATGATTATCGATCAGGACGAACTTTGTCGCCAGA